ACAAATTCAAAACAATACGATCATATCAATAGACACAGAAAAGGCTTTTGACAAAATCCAATACCACTTCTTGATTTAAAAAAAAAAAAAAAAACCTCTGAAAAAAACAAGTATAGAAGGAACATACCTGAATACGATAAAGGTTATTTGTGACAAAATGGGAAAAAATTAAATCACTCCCAATAAAAACAAGAACAAGACAAGGTTTTCCCTGTCTCCTCTTCTGTTTAACACAGTACTTCAAACATTAGCCACGGCAATTAAAGAAGAAAAAGAAATACATAAAGGAAATGGTGTACTCAAATTATTGTTTACAGATAAAATGGTGCTGTACATAGAAGACTCAAAGAACTTCACCAAAAATACTCTCAGTTAATAATCGATTTCAATAAAGTAGCAAGATCCAAGATCGGCATGCAAAAATCATTACCATTTGTGTATATCAACAAAGAATGGAATGAGAAGAAAATTATGAAAATAATGTCATTCACAGCAGCTTCAAAAATAAGAAATATAGAAATTAATCTAATACAGGAAGTGGAAAACCTCTACAAAGAAAACTATAGTACTCTGAAGAAGTAGACTGAAGAGGAAGGACATCAGAAAATGGAAAGATGTTTCCTGCTATTCGATAAGAAGAATCAATATTATCAAAATGGCCATATTGCCAAAACTGTTACACAGATGCAATAAGTCCTGATTAAAATAATGACATCATACTTTACTCGATCTAGAGAGAACAAACCTAAAATTCAGATGGAGCCAGAAGAGAAGAGACCCAGAAGAGCAAAAATAATTTGGGGCAATTAGAGCAAAGCAGATAGCATAACAATAGCTGACTTTAAGCTGTAGCATAAAGTAATACTGATAAAAACTGGCTGGAATTAGAACAAAACCAGCTGTGGATCAGTGGAACAGAACTGAAGACACAGAAGCCTCCCTAGACACATTCAACTATTTGACTTTCGACAAATGGGTCAAAAGCATACATTGGTGGGAAAATAGCATTCAACAAGTGGTGTTGGAAAAAATGGTTATGTTTCTAAAAGATGAAAAATAACCCTTATCTCTCAGTATATACTAAATTAAAACAAAAAATGCAGCAAAGATCTAAACAGTAAAACAGAAACATTAAACCTATGGGAAGAAAAAAAAAGTAAAATACTAGAACACATAGATGTTAGAAAGGATTTTTCTAAACAGAAACACAAGTGCACAAGAAATAGCAAGAATCAGAAATGGGATAATATCAGACTTTCAAGCTCCTGTACAGTGAAAGAATCATCGTCAGTAAAGAGACAATGTGAAAAATGGAAAAAATAAGTTGCCAGCTACCCCTCAGATAGAAGACTAATATCTAGAATATGCAAAGAGCTCAGGAAAAAATTGAACTGTCTAAATTAACGATCCAACCAAGAAATAGGGAAGAGAAATGAACTGACACTTCACAGAGGAAGAAACACAAATGGTCAACAAACATATGAAAAATTGTTCAACATCTCGTGTTATTAGAGAAATGAAAATCACAACAACCCCAAATTTCACTGTACCCCAGAAAAAATGGTCATCTTTAAGAAACCAAACAATAACAAATGCTGGCATGCCTGTGGTGAAACAGAAAGCTGCTTCACTGCTGGTGAGAATATAAAATAGCACAACTATTGTGGAAAGCAGTGTAGAGAGTTCTCAAAGAGCTGAAATCAGAAATGCCGTATGACCCAGCTATCCCCCTGCTATTTGTCTTCTCCCAGAAGCTTAAGTCATTATTCTACGGTGGTGTATACATACTGATGTTTACAGCAGCACAATTCATAGTCACTAAATCATGGATTCAGTCTGAATACCTATAAACAGACAACTGCACAAAGAACATGTGGTGTCCACAAATAGTGATATACTACTTGGCAATAAAGAATGACACACTTGAGACATTTGTAAGAAAATGGATGGAAATAAACTAGACACACAAGCTTAAATACTCGCATGTCATTTCTCATTTGAGTGAAGCAAAGAACAAAGAAAGAAAACAATAATGGATGGATAGAAAGGAACAAGAGATGGACATCTTATGATAGAGAAGCAGTTCAAGGATTAAGGGCCACAGGTGAGGAGGGGGCGATAGTAAAAACTGCCTTAAATAAAGAGATATATTGGCTTACACACAAAGAGTCTAAGTGTTAGGATGATTCAGTAATGTCACACAGGCAAAAGGCACTTTCCATCTCTCCATTTTGCAAGATAGGAGGGCAGATGGGTCCCAGTGTTGGGTTCCTTCATGATTAGAGTGACTAACGTAGCATTTTTCCTTCTTTTTATCCAGTGGTAACATATATAAACCAGTTCTAACCAGTCCTTTCATCACTTTGTCAAACCAAACATAAGAGGTCACACATCACTTCCCAGGAGCCAGCAGCAACCATGCAGGGCCCTAGAGGAGAAACAAGAGTTCCCATGAGCCAGCCAGCGGGCAGGCTGGGAGAGGGGAACACCAGCCCCACCCGGCCCACAGAAAGTAAGTGGTGGGTGTGGAGGGACACAGGCTGAGTTGATAGCCACTGAAGTACAAGAACACCTTACTGCTTATATTGTTTGATTGATTTTGCAGACCGAAAGCCGGTAGTTTGGGCATCTATTTAGAGGGAAAAAATAGGCAATATAGAAACTATGCGGGATTTCTTTGTCTTATTTTTGAAATCCAATATTGTTCTCATTGTTTTGTTTTGTTCCATTTTATTGTTTTTTTATTCAATGTTTTGTTTTGATTAGTTTTATGCTTTTCTGTTTTGTTTGACTTTATTATGTCTGATGGCAATTTTGGAAATAACAAGAGGTATTTTGGTAGCCATTGCTGATTTCCTATTATACTGTTTTGAAATCCTGTATCACATTCACAGTTTTGTTTTCATTTATTTTACTATGTTTTATTTTATTTGGTTATATTCTTCTTAGAATAAAAAAAATTTTTTTAAAAGAGTGAGAGAAAGAAAGAGAAAGACAGAGAGGTCACACAGCCTGACGGATTAGGGCAGTGCCATATATTGAATGGCTTAGACCTGAGGTCTTTAAAAAACTCCTTACTAAGCCTAGACTAATCATGAAGATATGTACTGAGTTCCTAATTTCTTTCACTTGCTGAAATATTATCACACTTACTTTTTTCTCGCTAAAGAAATCTTCTTTAAAATAACTGCTTGAGTAGAAGAAAAGTTATCTACTTTAAGACGAAGTTTTTTTCACAGTTAAAAGTTCACATGGTTAATGATTAAAACTGCATCAAGTTTTAATTTCTGAAGATTTAGGCAACAGAAGAAAAACAAACTTGCAGGAAGCAGATAAGTGAGTTAAGAATTTAATTTAGGAAGATCACTTCTAAATTATTACAGCTTTTCTTTAGGGGTCCAGATCCTTCTATGCTCCCAGGGTCTTCTAAATCAAGTATTCCCTGGGTTTCATCATTGTCTGCTTTATACTACTGCAGCCGTTTCCCACATTGTATCTAAGATTTCAACATATGAAGAGGTTGATGAGAATTTCAGTGAATGGAATTACCCGTAGAATGGTTTATTTTACCTGTAACCACTTATTTTGTTTCTATTCCTTTTCTTTGTTATTCATTTTACAAAGAACAAGTAACTCCCCAAAGAGGAGGCTAAAATATTGTTACTTTGGAAGGTAAGGTATAAATGAATCTATAAATATTCCAAATTGAAACTATGACTCTTAAGCATACCTTATCAATTGTATAGCTACAGTAATTAAAATTGAAAAAAATATTTGGGTGTAGTTTGATAGATATGTTTATATAAACATTTATTTTAACATATAAGCATATATATAGTCATTCTCTCAAAATCAGAACTATAGTTTTATAGATTCTATTCTCTATATGGTTATTGTAACAGTCAAGCAGTATTGTCAACTTGATTGCCTTCAGAGCTGTCTAGGGGATTAGTAAAACACACCTCTGGGTGTGTCTGCATGGGTTACAGAGGTGTAACCATAGGTAAAGTTTGTTCTCTGTTTCTTCCCTCCCTGGGACTGTTCCCTAGCTCCCATCTGTATGACATGAAGTGAGCAGTGTTGTCTCTCCATGCCCTCTCGCCATCATGGTCCTGCCTTGGAGCCAGCTGATGATGTATTGAACCTCTGAAACTATGGGCTAAATTAAACAGATTTGCATATTTTTCACCAGCTGACTAACATGGAAAATTGGTACCGGTGAAGGGGGACCGTTGCTATCACTACATGCTTTACATGCTTTGGAACAGATTTGCAAGAAGAATTTGGAAAAGTTTGGAGAACAGAATCTACAAAACTATAGAAAAATGTTATAAATTTGGGGCCAAAGGAAACAAGAAACCAAGTTACTTCTTTAGAGACCGTCAACTATAAACTGAACCTTTTGGAATCTGAATGGAATTAAATCTTTCCTTCTTAAATTGTTACTGCTGGGCATTTTGTACCAGCCATGGAAAGCTAACTAGTAACATTATATTTTATAGATTTTAGATAAGCAGTTCAAACATGGATAATCAGTTCAAACATGCCTCCTTTATGCACAAAGAATCTTCACAAGTCAGGGATATCAAATGGACTTTCTTTTGGCACACTTTGCAAAGAAGTTCAAGCATATATAACTCAAATATAAATCAATCATCCTACAGAATTATAATTCACAGTGTTGTTAAATATATTTCTGAAGTTATTAATAATACACTTTTATTGGATGCATGTGTGTATCTTTGGGAAAATAAAAAAAGAATTGGTAATAATCTTAAAACATTTAAAATTATCTCTAATATGTTTTTACATATGATTTTAAGCTATCTCATTCCAAGTGACATACTAACAAGTGATGAAACATAGTTATAAACACGTCTTTTACATTCTCAGGTGATTCTTAAAATTATCACACTCAAATAATTTTCCGTATTTAAACAACTGACATGTTCAGGGTCTCCAAATATCCTAAAAGTACGAGTACTTTCATATACACTTACCAACAGTATCACAGGGCTCATCTTTGTGTACACAGAAATCTTTCCTACAAAAAAAGAAAATCATACCAAAGATAAATTCTTTCGCACAATCAGTAGCTCTCATGTGACTCATGTTAAGTGTTACATGACGATAATAATTTTTACTTACAAAACTTGATAAAATTCCGGATAAGACTAATCTTTAATTCTAATAAAACATGACATTCAACTTCTATAGTACATATATGTTTGATAGAATCATATGACTTAATTTCCCATTTCATATGAAATATTTCAGAAATATATACCCATCTTGTTTTATATTTTTGAAAGAGTTCATTGCTCAATTACAAAAGATAAGAACATATTGCTGGAGTATGGCTTTGCATTTTGAAAATATATTGGAAGATATATTCCCATAACACACACAAAAAAAAAAATTGCAGGAGTTGTAAATATAAGAAATATAACTTTTAAAAAATACTATTTTATAAGATATAAACAATTTTAAATACCAATACCAGTTTGAATGATATGAATGAATATTTTTAAATAAATGAGGCAATAATATTATATAATTTTCCTCTCTATTTTTCCACTATATTGGAAGAGTAATCCCTGAGAATACTTCACTGTTGCTACCAATTATTTAAGATTTTGTAATCCACAATGTAATAGAACTTATCACTGACAGTTTTTGCATTCGGAGGCATACTCTCTGAAATTTGTATTTACCACTTACTATTTGTGTGACCCCTGGACAGCTTACTTAACATTCTTGTGCCTTAGCCCTCTCATCTAAAATACAAAATTGATTTTAAGCATAGTGCCATATTTCCTCTCCTGAAATTTTTTCAGTTTCAAAGCAAACTTTATTTGCTCCAAGAACATCCTATACTCATATTTTGAAATTCTTGTTTTTAATCATGTAAGCATACTTTTTATAATTCCTGTCAATATTATTTAAAAATATTATTCATTATTGTGGTTTTTTTTTTTTGCTTCTTATCGTCAAAGATGTTCTCATTATGCAATTTGTAGCTCTATTATGAATTTATTGTATTTTATTTATGGTTGCTTTATATGGTGTACATTAAGATGTCATCATCCCAGAATAGTTTTGAAAATGCTTTCACTAAGTGCTCCAATTTTTAGAATCATATTCATAAAAACGAAGGCCTGAGAACCATTTTTCCCTGACTTGAGATGATGAATGATACAGAATATTTACTTCTTGAAAATCTGTCTTTGCTGGTACAAGGAACAGAGTCCTCTCTCGTGCTCCTCCACCTTTTTTAAGCAGTTATTTCTTATTTACTTACTTAAGAGAAAAAAAGGTACATGAAAGAAAAATAAAAGGCAAGAGACATGCAAACAACAAAAAACCTGGAACAGTAACGGTACAGGTTTTCAAAACAAGATGATAGGAATTTAATGATGATTGTAATATTGCATATTGTTACCTTCAAAGGGTTGCTTAGATTACCAGACATAGACATGGAAAATTGATCAAACCATATGAGTATTAATTGTTCTTTTCCATGAACTAATAGAATTAGTAGTATAGTCATCTTAGCTATCTTATGTGTGTGTATATATATATATACATATAAATTTATGTCCTTTTCCTTTTCCCCTCCATCTTTCCTCCTTTCCCCTGTCCCAGTTACTTTTCCTCTTTGGGCAGTTTCTTACCCTTATACAAGACTTCTTGGATCATATTTGCTCTTTCAGTTTCTTACACTAGGGAAACCTTTTGCTCTTGTTGCTTCTGCTATCTTCTCCTGCCAGGAACTGTTGCTCCTCTGCCATGAGCTACCCTTCCTTGGAGCCAGCAGATTATGGATTGAAACTTCCACAAACTGTGAGCTAAATAAATCTTTCTTTCCTTAACTTTGGCATCAGCTGTGTTGTTTCAGCAATGAAGGAAAAGTAACCAACACACCTGGCAAGCGCAAGGCCCTAAGTTTGATTCCCAGTACACTGAAGAAAAAAATTATTGGTGCATTTCAGATATATGTAATGACCACATTCACTATAGGAAATTTTACCTGTGTATAACATAGCTTTTTTTCCATGCATCTACTGTATCTTCAACCTCTCTCTTCTCCTCCCTATTTAACAAACTTTATTTCCATTTTTCTCTTTCGTTTTCTTTTTCTCTCTTTCTTTCTTTCTTCCTTTCTTTCTTTATTTTTTTTGACTCAAGCATCAGAACTCAGGCTGTCTGGCATGATACCCCTTACTAGGATTTATTTCAGTGATCATGCCTTCTCCCACCTCCTTTGGCCTGGATAATATAATTCAAAGACACCTTTAATTTGCAGGACCAAATATCTACTGCACAGTTCCAGTCATCCAACTTGCAAGGTAATGGACATCTCCCAAATGCAGTAGACACAGTGCAGCAGTACAACATTTTGCCTACTAATTAATCATTGTGTGTTTCCAAGTAACAGGAACAGAGTAAAACATTTTTACTAATTTACACAAATATGTTATTGTTTCCTATTATTGTTAATCTATGAACAAGATAATCAATCTTGGACAATTTAGGTTGGCTGTTAGCTCTGTTTTGTGTGTTTGTTTGCTTGTTTTTGTTTTTTGAGCCAGGGTCTCACAGACTGAGTACAGGATGGCCTTGAACTCACCATATTGTCTATGCTGACATTGAACTCAGGGCAATCTTCCTATGTCATTCTCCTGAAAGCTAGGATTACAAGTCTCTGCCATCATACCTGGCTTAGCTATTAGTATTTGACACCTGACTTGGCTGTTAGTTCTTCAATTTTTAAAAAAAATATATAGAATATATAATTCTATTAAAATGTCATATTTCTTACAAATCTATTATTCTAACTGAATGAGTGTCACAAAGTGATGTCTCAATTAGTAATTAAAAAATAAATAGCAAGATATTGATGAACTAAATAATCATTGTCCACTTGCAATAATGAATTTATTATGATTTTTATTGTTTAAAAAGAATCTGAAAACACATTCTACAATTAGAAAACATGACAAATCAGAGAAGATATACAGTGGTACCTTGGTTCACAAACTTAATTCTTTCCACAATTCTGATTGCAAACCATACTGAATGAGAATTGAATCAAATTGTATTTCCTCTGACAAAGTGGGCTTCAACATAGAATGAAGCACCGAATTTGATTCAGTTCTCATCCAACCCAGTTTGCAACCAGAATCATGCAAAGAATCAAGCTCATGAACTGAGATACCACTGAATTGAAATTTTATCCCCAAAACATAACCACTCTACATGACCCCCATAATCTTCTTCCAAGTACACTAGTACTCAGCTTCTTTCAATATTCAAAATACAGAACTAAAACTTGTAATCTAGACCGAACAAGACTGCTCTCAATCATAATATTTATTCGCAGAATCATAATTAAGGAGGTTTTAAACAGCTCAACGGTTCCACGATAGCCCAACTGAGGTAAGCCTTTAACACGCCCACTTCTAACTGTCAGTACTTTTTCTTGGGGACCCTCTCTCTATATATATTACTTCATTATTTTCTGGTCATAGTACTCTGGTCATTGACATCACAAAATTTTCCCTCAGACTAAAACTCACTTTTTCAGAGGAGATAAAATGGTCGTTATAGTAAGAGAATGATTCTTACTATAATGTCCATGATTATTTAATTTTAGTGGACAAGATTCCTAGACATTCCCAGAGTTTCCCTCTTCACTGTCTTTCATCGTGTCTGTTTCAACTCTATTGCTGATTCTGAAAAGTAAACGAAATCTTGCCAGCCTATCAAGATGAGACAAAAATCTACTTTCTCTGAAATTCAATTTAACTATAGTGTTTCTGCATTTAAAGACTAACTCCAAATGATACAGGAACATGTATTTCCCTGGTGACATCATGTATAAAAAGTCGGTGATAACTATAGGTAAAGGAAAATGGAAAAGGTTCTCTAGAATATTGCTGATAAATAAATGGCAAAATACACTTAGATTTTGTCTGCTTAGGGAATAGGAATCAAATTTTTCCTTGTGACACCATGCCATAGGCCAGGTTGGGCACCATGTACTCTCGGGATACAATGGCTACACAACCACGTAAGTTGTTTCCTCTACACATTGCAGTGAGTAAGTTGTGCAATTAGATGTGGTAGCATTCACTGTTTCTTCAAGGCAATGCACTGAATACAGCAAAGGACACAAGGCAGTCTTTAAAGACTCAGAAAGTGATGACATTGTCACCTTGGTAACGCAGTAAGGTCCCTGGAATCAGTGAGAAAGATTTAGGACTTGTATTAAATAATGACAATCTTCTTCGCCAACAAACAAATGGAGAAAGAAACACCCAAAAGATACTAAATAATATGGCAATGCAGCAAATCAAAGGGAAACACAAAATCAAATCCTTACCTTAGGGCCAAGAATCACTGAGTATAAAATATATTCAGATGTAAGGAAAAAGAGACTATGTATCTTGCTAAATATATAACACATCATATCATGATGCATGAGCCTGCATCGTGATTATTTCATTTTTATTATGTGAACCAAGGGACTTCATCTGTAACTAAACAACATGATAAAACTATAACTAATGTACTGCTTACTGTCAAGGGCACTTAGGTACTTCACACAGACAATTTCTGTTCACTTAGCAAACAAATGCATGAAGCATATTGTTTACAAAACATAAAAATTGCACAAGTTCTTTTACCCAAGCATTGGAAGAACCTCTTGCTAAATTAAAGAATAAGTCACCAGTCGCATTAATAAAACTCAGATGAGACTATAATTCTTTCTAATCTCCAGTTCTTTATTTCTTCCTAGAGGACCAAAATAATATATCCATAATTTCAAAATGTGCAAAGATTTTTTTGTGTTGGGGGATGGCTGGGAGACAGACACAGTTATGAGGAAAGTGTCCTTAGTTAGTGTGACTGTAATGGTGGCCTGGTCTTTAGCTTTGCAATGAGCTTGTGAAAAATGGAATGAGAAAAGTATTAATTTCTATGGGTTCCATGCTTTTACGCTTATTTGCCAGGCTGAACTCAGACCAGATGCAGGTTTTAGCGAATGCATACCTTAGATAATTATTAAAGGTATACTGTGTGGACACACTACTAGAAAAAATATGGCTCAAGGATTAATTTTAGTCTCAGCCACAATGCATACTGTTCTATTAAATCCAAACCTATCTGAGATAATATATTTGTCAGTTTCTTTCTGTGTAATACAATAAAATAAGTAGTTTAAAGCTGACCCAATGCTTATGGGTTCACAGTAACAAAACCATAAAATATGTTTTCCTAACAATTTGCTGTTTAGTGTAATTTTTACATTTCACTCTGAAATCAGAGAAGATATGTCTGTCTTTGAAAATAGTGTAATTTAAAAATGAATTTTATTAATGATGGATTTGCCTTTCATGTTATGAAAATGTTTCAGTTTATGTACAACATTTCCAAAAGCTACTTTCGAATGAATATGACTGGCAAGTTTGACAGAAAATTTAATAAAATAGAGAAATGGCAGAATATCTTGATTTAATACAAATCGCAGAACTATATTTCAATGAATCATTTATGGGTATATCCCAGGGCACTATTAAAGTCTGCAGTGAGTCTTATTCTCAGATACATCTTCATTCTGGAAATTAAAGTCCACACTTCTTTTATTTCAATATATATCAGAACTTAAGCAAAATTTATTGGTCTTCTCCATTGCCAAAATCTAACAGTATCATTTCCATAAACTCGCATAATGAAACTATGATGCACACTTCATAGGCACAGAGTCATTATGAGCCAAAATGAAAATTTAAATCACAACTACACAAGACAGTTATGTAGACGGCCTTAGTAAATGCTACTAGGTCAGTTAGAAATAAAATATTTCACTCAATGGACTGATTTTCACTGCTGTGTCAGTAGAAGCAGAGATACAGAGAAAAAAGTGATCCTCCATATAAACTTTTTCCTATAAGGAAGAATTTGGTCGGTACCTATCAGTGTTTGGTATATGTATATCCCGAGACAGGGCAAGTCTTTTTTAAAACTTAGGTAAATATTAGCACATATTTATAGTTACAGATAAAAATATCATGTAACAACAAAGCAGAAAGTTCTATAAGTAAAAAAGTAATTCAACCAATTAGGACAGGGCCAGGGATTTAGCTCAGTGGTTCACGCACTTGCCCAGTAAGTGTCAGGTCATGAGTTTGATTCCCGGTATCAAAAAACAAAACAGAACAGAACAACCCCCCCACACACAAAATCAATTAGGATAGTTTTATGTAATATATACTATCTCTGTTTCTTCCTCCATTTGTAGATCTATATGCTTATTATCTGTTTCCTACTTGCTGCTGTGACAAACGAGCGCACACTTGATCAGATAAAAAAAAAAAATTCAGGGGCCGTGGATATAGCTCAGTGGTACAAGCGTCTGCCTGGCAAGTGCAAAGTTGTGAGTTCAATTCCTGCTAACAAAAAAAGTTTCCTGTCCTCTTAGATGCTCTGGTGTATAGCCCATTTTCTTGTAGTTTCTACACATTCTCTGTATTTTTCAACTGTGGCCTCTTCTTTAGCTTCACAGCCAGCTATGTATCATGTGCCAGACTGCCTTACTGACACTGTAGTTTTGTATTCTTGCTCCATGTTTAGGACTTTGAAACATCACTTTCAACTCCCTCTGATGACCCTAGATAATCTCACAACTCAAGATGCTTAATTTAATCACATCTTCACAACCAGTTTTCCATGAATGGTGATGCATTCACAGGTTCTGAGGATTAGGACATGGATGCATTCAAGGGAATGTTATTCTGTTTGCTACAGTGAAGGCCATGTAAAGACTTTGATGGCATATTTACAAATGAAAAATACTAAACATTACATATATACAAACTTTGTATACATATTAAGTCAACATGAGTTACCTTTGAATTGAAGAGTTGGATAAAAGGTAATTGTTAATACAAAAGTTTTTAAGTTTTATCGTGAAAATATTTTTATATTATGAGAGTATTTTTAAAATTAATTTTTAAATTTTGAACAGGAGAATAAGCTTGGGAAAAAAGAATTAACTTACAGTATTTCCTAGAGAACACTACTGAAGGACAAAAGAATGTTTGGAATAAGTTTTTGTGATAAAATATTACTTTTAAAATATGTAAAAAAACTTCAATTCTAAGAATAATGTTCTGCCTCCTAAGTGAATAGGTGAATATCAATTATTAACTATATTATATTTTACAACTTTTTAAATGTATGCAATATGTCATATTACTCTGTTTTATGAACTTTTTCTTTAAATAATACCTGTATTGCATGGCTAGGAAAGGCTAATAATAAAGTAGATTATAATGAAAAATAACTAGTTAATGTGTATCAAAGATCATGTATAAGGAGAGTCACAAGAGCATAGCTTATGAGAGAAAGAGACTGGAAACAACTTAAATGTTCTACTGTTGTGCAATAAATGGTAGTATCATTCATTCAGTGGATCACTACTATACAACAGTTAAACAGGCGGACCAACATAACTCTTTAGCACCAGAGCTCAAAAGCCTAACGTTGAACTAAGTTGCAGAAGGATTTGGTTATTCGTATCACAGCCAAAGTGCAGTATTATAAATTTTATGTGCATCTATATATATAAGGAAAACATAAAAACAGTCATGGAGATAATAAACCAGATAAGTATTTCTAAAGAAAAAAAGATGGAAATGAAATCAAGAAAGAGTTTATAGGGTAAAAAATATGTTTGTTTTGCTTTGTTATTTAAATATCTGAATCAAATAAAATAAAAACTTCTCCCCCCAAAAGAATTCTGATTTTAAGAGTTTATCACATAAAAAGTTTAATAAATAAAGGGATACTTGATTTTTTTTCAGTTTTTAATAGAAAAATAGCTTTAGATACAAAGAATGAAATCAATGTCACAGTAATAGACTTCTTTAAAAATACTTTTTAAAGAAGAAACTAATTTAGTTATTTTTATAAAAAAGGTAGACAATAATCTTTTTAAAGGGTTATAAGTAAAGATATGCATTCATTTCAAATTATTTAAGAAGTAATCAAAATTTAATTCCTTTATCTAATTTTACAAACTTCTGTTAACTCTTCACATTCTGTTTATTTAAATTATTTTGCTGGTAACATTGTTAAATATGTCTTAAGAACATGCATCTTCTCTATGGTACAGTTTCCTTTAAGAAATTGTCAGTGACAGATTGATTTGGTAAGATCATGCAATTAAACGTACAGGTCATTCCTAATCACTTCATTTTGGGGTCCTCTAAAAACTCAGCTCACATCAATATTCTCACACCACTACTCCACTCTTGTGATTTCCATTATTAATTCATACCATGTTTTCCAAATCTAAAGTTAAGCAACACTTGGATAGATCTAAGACAGTCTCTGTGCATATTCAAACTTGCCAAATTCTCAAAGGTGACCTGCACTTGTGATTTGTGGCATCTCATGCATTTGAATCTTACCTCTGGTATCCTCAGAAGGACAGATCACTGTGGTCCTACTTGCTGATAATTCCAAGCAAGAAATTGACCCGGTAGCCAAAGTTACAGTAACTATTGGGCTAACCTATACATTTTCTTTCATTCAGGGACAGAAGTCTCTTGTTTTATTTTGGAATGACTGTCTCGTAGTTGTTTTGTAGTTTTGTAGCTTTGTAGCTGTTTATTGCAAAAGTCAAGTATCAGTTCTACTTAATTGCACCTATATGTATGGTTGTATGGAGATTTTTTATGAATTATTTATAATTAGAATAGTTTTCATATGATTAATAAGAAACTACCATGAATTAAATAGATTTCTAAAAATAATGTTAAGTATATTATTATGAATTCTGTGATATGAAACACATGTTTAACGACTAAAATTAAGTTGTTGGTGAAAATGAATTATTATTTGTTATTCATTCCAAGCAAGACAAATTCATGGATAATACTAGTACACGGTACTTACAGTTTATATTGCTATTATTTATTTCATCGATTTATATATTTTCCTATTGCATTAGAAATATCTGTGAGTAGTAAATTCACAATGAAGCTAAAAATTAACTACTGATTGAATTGAAACTATTTTTCAGATGGATCCAGAAAATTGATAAATTTAACTTACTAATTTATTTTACATGGTGATGCCCGGAAAACATACAGTGTGGCTTTATGATTTTGAAGCTCCACCAAAATCAACACAGCTTTTCTCATTCCTCATTATCAATGGCTTTGTATGTTAAAATTTTGAGTGTGAATTTTTTAATTAACCAAATTGTTTGTCAATTTTCTATCCAACATTTTGTGAATCAGAAATCAGTTTTTCTACAATAAAGGAAATAACTAAAATCATTAAGCCAAAATTTTGGGGAACATGAAATTTGGAGTGAAAGCATAATATCAAGGGGTTCATGGGATTGACAGCACAGCCATTGAATCAGGAATGGTATTTAGCTGGCCGTGGAAAATTTACCTTGTTATAAGTATAGCTGCATCCACTGGCGTCGTGTCTTCTCCCCAGCTTGTGGACATCTCTAAGTGTATGTCATTCTTTTTGCCAAATTCTTCATGTTGCCACTTACAAAAGCTTTCTAGCATTTTCTCTCCATGGTGCCCAATATACAAATCTGCCTGCAACAGAAGACATTTTCCTTCAAGGCAGATTGCTCCTACATACACAAAAGCTAAAAACTGAAGGAACTTCCTGAATTACTAAAGCAGACTTCTAACCATAATGTTAATTAGAACCTGGAAGGCATTTATGCTTAATTTAGCCTGACCTAAAAATCTTAAAATTTTATGAAGGTACAATATTACAAAATCTGTTGAATACTACTCTAAAAAAATAAAAGGTGCAACAGAATATTCAAAAACTGAAATTTTCAGATGTGAATAATTCATTATTTCTGCAATTTAAGAAAAAAGGCTTCCTGAAACACCAGTAAAGGTGTTTGTCAAAATGATACCACAGACTATTTTCCATCTAGAATGAATTACAGATAAGAAAACACTTTAAAAGCACATGTTAAAGCGATAGAATAAATGTGTTATATGAAATGACTTTAAAATTACACTTTGGAAGCTTAAGGTTTGTTTTCAGGAGCCTTGGAAACTACGAACATTCCTTTTTTTGAATGAAATTGAGGTATTAACCAAAACTAAGTCAGTTTTATGTACACTTTAAGTGACTCAGTGGGTATTTCTGGATTTTACGTCAATAAAAGTTTGTGTCTAACTTTCCCTTCACTTTAAAGTTCTTAAACACAATTTCTCATCCACTTAATGAATAAAAACTCAAGACATTCTTACTGGAGTTTCATGGAGCAGAATTAGCTTTATCACACGAAGATTGACCTGCACACCAAGACTCTTGTGTTGGAAAAGGTTAAAAACCTAAAAACAAATAAAAATAGAAATCCTAAAGTAAAACTGAAAAATATCTTAAATTTTTTAAAGGTTAAATATGGGAAAGTCTCACTTTAATTGAGAAATCTTATTTTTAAAAGCTGGAAAGCAAGATGATTTTTTAAGGTAGTACCTTGTTTTTAAAAGAATAGTAATTATTCCATTTGTATTACAGAATTTAAAACTGGCACATCTAACCCAGGTTTACTGAGGCATAACTATGTAGATGAGACCAAAGTTCTTTGTCTACCTTATAAGAAATAGTAGCAGAATAGTCACGATGCAACTAAATATGGACAGAAATGTTAAAGTGTGAAAACTCTGTCCAATGATAAAACAAATGATAATAAAAATAACAAATGTATATATTGATTCAATGGTTCTTACCTTATTTTCTATGATAATGAGAATTATAAATGGATACATGGTTTTGTTTTTTTTTATTTCTGTTTATTCTTTCCTAATTATCATTTTCTTTTTCTTCCTTGAAGAAGGCCTACCCAAAAGATTATATGGCTATCTAAGAATTAATTTACTAGTAAGCATTCCTAGATACTAAATGTGTACTACATTTCTGTAATCTAGAATTTGTCAAGAAATTAAGCTACCTATGATTCAGCTAGTTAAAGTTTTATCTAGTAGTTGTTAACTTTGACTAATCAGCCAGAATCACATCTGACATATAATTTTACATACTCATATAAAGAACTTAGGAAATACCAACATCCAATTTTATACCATTTCATAAATAATATATAGCGTTTGTGTTACAAAAATCCACATAAGCAAATATAAAATTTCTGCTAATATTAACAGATCCTCTTTTTTAAATAAGGAAAATATAGCATAAAGTAACAGCAAGTTTCGCCACATCAAAACTAACAATGAATTACTTTTTTTATTAAAACATAGGAATCATTATTCTGCTATTTCTCAGGAGACAGATCAGTTTGGTACATCTAAAGATACCAAATCAGCATTTGTACTGCTGTTAATAAATAAAAAGAATAGTAGTGAGTTAATTTTTAAAGAACTTCATTATAAATACTCACACATTTCTTCCTTAGAGTTTTCTTGAAAAAATTCCAAGCGCACTTTAAAGTTTGCCTACCATATTTAAGATGGTTAGAATGAACCTCCTGGCTGCATCTGCTCCATGATAGGAAACCATTGCTGGATCTGCAACCACTACAGTCTCTATGTTGTATTCTTGAGGTAATTTGTATGAATATCGTTTCCCTCTTCCAGTTTCTGTTATTTTTTTAGACTTAGGTCTTCCTTTATCTGTAACAGAAAAATGAGCTTCTAAATGAACCTTCATGTTAGATAGGTTAGTAACAAATTCATATCAAGGGGCAAAATTTAGTAAATTTCTGCACAGATGGAACACGAAAGGCACTTGGTGTTGTACTATGAGCTTAATTATATTAGACAGACAGGGCTTCCACCATTTATTGTTTCTTTCTTTTAGGAAGCTGACATCACCCAGTCAGCCTCAGTTTCCTCAAGTAGAATTAATAATACGCCCTGCTTCCTAGAATAGCTGATAGCTTGGTTATTATATCATCTAAGTGAACGATCTATCCCAGAGCTCTATATAAACCAAAATAAATTGATAAATAAAGATATTATGATTTTCTTTTTGTCACAATTGACAAAATACAGGGCTACTTACTAGAAGCACCTGAAGGGACTGCCTCACACATCCCGAGGTCAGGCAGATGCCCCAGACTCCTGAATCACTGTGTCTGGAATACCACGGACTTGGGCTCCACCTCCCACAGAGAGTATAGGAAAGTTGTACCTCTGGGTGATAAAGATTTCTCTAACAGCCAAATAAAGTGGCTACCACTAGCACAACATAAATATAATTACATAAAAATTAAGCAACTTACTTTAAAATACCGTGCATGCTACTGTGAGAATGAAAAGTGCACCACCAAGGAGAATATACATTCAGTACTTTTCCGAAATAAAAGAAAAAACAACTATTCTAAGTCAGTGGCAGATAACAGACATATCTCACCAAAAGATATCTACATGGCCTACTAGTATATGAGAAAATGCTCAATTACAGTCGTCTTCAGGGAAATTAAAACCACTATAAATTAAATAAATTAAAATCTCTTCAATGACTAAAATGAAAGAAGCTGACTCTGTCCAGTACCTACATGAAAGCAAGGACAACTAAATTTCTTATACACATAAATGCTAGGAGTTTAAATTGTAATAAACATATGAAAAACCAGGGCTAGAGATTTAGCTCAGTGGCATAAGTGACTGCCTGGCAAGCACAATGTCATGAGTTCGATCCCCAGAACTGCAAAACAAAAAAAAGAAACACAAAAAACCTAGCTGACAGATTCTACTAGCATTGAACATTTGCATATCTAGTGATTAAAGATCTAAAATACATACTCAACACAAATTCCTACTAGCTACATATATAAGTAATTCACAGAAGCACTAATTTTTCAGTCATCCTGGAGACTGTACCTAGGGCCTCACACTTGCTAGGCAAGTGCTCTGCCAGTGAAATACACTGCTAGCCCTCTTTTGAGACAAGGACACACTAAATTGACCAGGCTATCTTCAAGTGTGTGATCTTTGTGACCCTAGGATTACAAACATGTGCCACAATACCCAGCCAGAGAACCGGTATTCTGAATAATTTGATTACCCGCGAATAGTAAAATGGAAAAATGAATTTTGGCCTTTTTATACAATGAAATATAATGGAATGCTACATAGTAACAAAAAGTAACCAACTGCAGCAATGTGCAAAAATATGGATGAGCCATACAAGTACTTTGAACAAAAGCCAATTACAAAATGTGGTGTTAGAAATCAGAATAGTGACTCCTTCAAGATAGAAGTAATCAATGCTTAAGGATGTGCACAAGGAGGATACTGTGGTGCTTATGCCCCCTGTATTTTGATTTCTACGATGGCTCATGAATTTGTTCATTTCAAGATAATTTAGCAGTTAGACAAATCGCTTTACAACTTCCTGTATGCATGAGGTGCTTCAATAAAGTATGTAAAACTCTATGATTTTGACAACTTTTTTGAAGAGTCACATATCATAATATACTATTTCAGTGCACAATTGAATCAGTTTTAATAAATTTCTACACTTGTACAATCATCACCGCAATTCATCATTAAAACATTGATCGAAGATTCCTCTCGTTGGTATTTACACAAATTGTTTTAACATATCAAAATTGCCATTATTTCCTTTTCCAAACTTTCTGTATTTACTGATCAACACTTATATAATTCTTTACTAATACTGACTTCAGGGCTCAGGCAGGTCATCTCTGAGATCTAATATGGAATGGTTTCCAGCACCACTGCTGAAAGCTTTCCCTTTCTCAGTTATCTGCAGAATTACTCTTCTGCAATTTTTCTAGCAATAACACAGACTGAGAATCTATTTAGTAAACCAAGCTTTGTCTAAATAGCACACACTAGAGGCCATTAGGCGTGTGAAGTTTTGATAATAAAAGCAAACATTTCTTTTTTTTTAGAAAATACACGTTATAAATACATAGCAAAGCAATGCAAACAAAAACTATCTAGTCATCTGAAGCCAAATTACTGTGTTTATAAGTAAAATTTATAGATCCAGGTACGGTACCAGAAGCTAGCACCAAAAATCTTGAAGAAACAAAAAGGTAGAAATTAGTTTTGCTAGAATCCTGAAGTCAATTAAATTTAAAATTTAATTGTGTTATTTTTCTAACTGTAGTTTTTTTCTATTTGTGCTATCAATTCTATCATATATATGTCGGCATCTTAGAATATAAATATATGGTAAATATTTAAAGGGAATATTCCCACAGATAGGAAGAAATGCATGTTGGCAGGATCAATACCTAACAAGTCGATCATAAAGAACACGTAACTATGCATAAATATGTGACACAGATCCAGTCTCAAATTGCATTAGCACTTTCCTTATTTTTACTGGCACCTTTCCAGATGCATTTGTCACTAGCCTAGAAAGAAAATGAGAACCTTTAACTACTACAAAGAACCTATGTACTGAAAATGCAAACTGATAGCATCTCACCAGCGTCAACTCCCATTAAACAGATGAGATTAGTATGAATGCAACCAGTGGCCAGAAAGTGAGACTTTTTTTCTATGTAGGCATTTTGTTTACTAATTTCTCCGTCACTTATTCACCCTTAGATTTTAGGGAGGTTTCTGGAACAGAGATAATTAACTGCCTCTTCAATTCATTTTCCTCTTCTTTTCTTTAGAGGTAGGAATGTCATTCCCCAGTTCCTTCCTTTTTGTCTTCTTAGAAAAGTTTGTGGCCACCCAACCCATTGCTGTAATTCAATGAATGTGATTGCTGTAGTTCAATGAATGTGATTATGTAAGTAAACATCGAAAAACGGAATACATTCAGAATTAGTATTTATTCTGGGCCACTCTTTAAAAGAAAAGTGTCCCCTGCTTTCTCCTTCTGCTTTATTTAATGGGCTAAAATCAAGACAAGATGTGGTGAGCTCAGGTGGACACTGCAGGAGGTACCACATTGGGTATATGTCAAACAAGAAGGTAGGAAGAATTATAGCCACTGGAAGATGCCCCAGCTCAGAGGAACCAATTTCTCTAGACTCACTTGCATACTTGTGAACTTTAACAGTTGAGAATATACCTAGATAGGTAAGTGTCTATCCACTTTAAACTGCTGTTCTCTATTGTAGCGTCTTGGCCTGTACCGTAATAAAGATGGCTCCCGTTGCCCTTCGGAGTTACATGTGTGCTGTGCATTCCTTACTGCATGTTTCTCGTGCATGTCCACTGCTTGGTTGTCTTCATCACATACTAGAAGGCTCCCATAAATGTGGGACAGAGTGTTTCTCTGGTTCAATCAATGCCACAAGGTAAGAACTATGAGTCCTAAGACTGGCTCTCATATTCTGTAATATATTTCTAAAGTATTCTAAATATTGTATCATAAATGTTGCCAGGTGATTTGTCAATTATTTTAATAATTATATCTATGTTAAATCAAGAATTTCAAATTGTCTCAAAGCAACAGGTTTTCATATAATATTTTATAGCTGTCCAACTTTAAATCAACTCAGAAACAGATAAAATAATCTATCTCGCAACATCTCTCCCATGCCTTTTTCTGGTCGTCTATACGTTGCTCACTCTATTCTATCAGTATTGCTACTGTCATGATAAGACCTTTGGGCTAGTTATTCCCTTGACCTTTATCACATTTATTCCAGGTGCTTTTAGCTTTTGCTTATCAAAGTAGCTTTCCTACCCACTATACGTAAAGGAACCCACTCTGCCTAGAGTGGAGTTTTCAATCTCTCCAACTAGTTTATCTGCTGAGCCTGTAAGACTGTTTGGTAAAAGGCATGCAGTAAAGTTGGAGATATGATGCTTTTATCTCTGCTACTTAAAAAATGTCACAAGGCTGGGGATTTAGTTCATTGGTATCAGCAGCTGTCTGGCAAGTGTAACGTCATGACATGAGTTTGATCCCCAGCACCAATAAAAAAAAAAAAAAAGTGTCACAATTCACCATAAATGATATTTATTTAAATGATTTGAGTTACTTTTTTTTTCTTTTCTTTTTGTCTTTTTTGTTTAAGACAAGGTGTTGCCACAGTTCTTTGAATTCACTTTGTGGTTCAGGCAGGCCTGGAATTCACAGTCCTCCAGCTTCAGTCTCTGTGTGTTGGGATTACAGACATGCACCACCATGTCCTACCAGCTTTCTAATAATGAGAAAGTAAATTCACTTCAACTACAAAAAGGAGGTAGCATATATCTACTAATTTGTAATCATCAGAACCTCAAAAGTGGTTGACACATTACAATCAAGCACTTTCCTATAAGTAACGCAGACTTTAAGATTATCAAAACAAACATCGTTTTTTTAGTAGGGTCAGCTTCAGATTGATTAAATCTGAGATGCTTGACAGACATCTGAATAGCAATTGTTACATAACTGGAGTCAAGAGAGTGTTTGAAATGAAGACAGGTTTCAGAACTAAACAGTATAAGGGTGAACACATAGATTTGAGTCATAGCAACCTGGAGAAATATATGAAAAGAAAAGGAGAAAAATTAGATGAATGTCCTAAGAGGAATCTACATGTAGAGGACATAAATATGAAAAAGACACACGCATGGCAGAGACAGAGATGTAAGAAAAATAAAAGGAGATCCAAAACAGGGACCAAAGGGGAGAGCTTCTAAAGGGAGGGGCTTCGAAACTATCTCAAGAGTGGTAGCTCACAGGTAAGAGAGATTTAATAGTATGCACCTTTTCATGCTCCAGCTAATGTTAGTTGTGTTGTCCCCAAAGTGTCAGCTTTGTCTTGACTTACATATTACATTTAAACAGACTATCTGGAAGATACGAGGTTCCCTAAGATCCTCAACTTTATGGTAAACTCCACATAAATTAGCTCTTGTTAAGAAAATGATGCATACTGAAATAATTTCATTTTATTGCTTTTGTGATGTTTTCATTGTCTCCAATTCTGCTTAGCTCATTCTTAACTTCTGAATCTTCAGATTCACATGCATACATAAAACAAGTTAATACTGCATACTTAGAGAAGAAATTTAAAACATGTACCATCCAGTATTCAGTTTGTGTCCGCCCTAATACTCTTCTGACAATAATATCCAAAACAGTTATAGATTGAGTGTGGGAACAAATTCAGTAGTGTCCCTGTTGGGTCAGCTCTAGGGATGATTTCTCTGTGTCGCTCAGACCTTGATTTGCAATTTGATCAAACTATTGCTGTTTCATATTGAGTCCTAGACATACTTCTCAGTTTACACTGGAAAGTTAAGCAATACAAATTGGCATCACTTCCAGGGCACACAGGTCCTATCATGATCCAGTGCATGGCTACTTTTCCAGGGCTGTATCTTATCGAATTGGAACACGGCTTCAGCTCCCCTGGCTGACGCTCTCTCCCTTTCTTATGCTTCTCTACATTTGGTTCTGCGCCTGACAGGCTTTTGCTTCATTAACATCTTAACAACTTATGCTAAAAAACATTGCATACATTTTTCATTTTCACATACACTCACATTTACTCCTAAAGACAGCCTTGAGCTTCAGAGGTCACTTATCTCCATTTGAATGTAGTAAATGGGCTTTTGAGAGGAAAACGTAAGTTTCCCAAGATTACAGTTAGCACGTGGTAGCACACAGACCTGAAAACCGGCAGAATGAAACACAAGTCCATCGTCTTCACTTACATACTCCATTCCTTTTTCTCATTCTACCTTAAAATTTTGTTTCATTCTCAATGCTCAGGTCTCTACTTTCAGGGACCTTGTGTCCTGAGTCTATAATTGTAGTTATCACTCTGTGGTATGATTTCTGATTTAGCAGTTTACTTCTTGAGAATAAGCATTTTATCCGTTTGGTCGTGTTTATGTTGCAAAGAAACATCCAAATGCCCATCAACCAGGGAATGGATAAGAAAGATGTGATTTTTAACACAATGCAGTACTACTCAGCCATCAAGAATAAACTTGAGACATTTCTAGGTAAATGTATACACCTTGAGACCATACTGTTAAATGAAATAAATCAGACACACATGTGTAAACAGCAACTGTTTACACCAGGGATGGTGTGAAAAACTGAAAGAATAATTAAGAATCAAAGCATACAATAGGTATTGTGAAATAGGAAGACATTTTTCAAAAGGAAAGAGAAATTAGGGAGGGAAAGAGAGAAGGAAAAGGAAGCAGAAAAGAAAAAATGATTTAAAAAATAAAATGGAGTCAAAGCTTTGTAAATAGAGAGGAGCGGAGGGGTTGAAAAGACGAGAGGAGAAGAAATTGGGAAAAACAGGAATCAAAACATATCATGTACAGTTACAAAATTATTATAATGAATATGATCTTTATGCCTTATGTGTATATCAAAAAGAAAGCTAAGGTTTATCAGTATAAGCGAAGTGCACAAGATTACCTAGCTAGTGAGCCTAAACCCAAAGCCTGTAACTTTCAGTTCTTGAGCCTTCTTGTCTTCTGTGTTATCTCTGAATAAAGAAATACAACAAAGACATCCTAGGGGCTGGGGATTTAGCTCAGCGGCATAAGCGCCTGCCATGCAAATGTGCAGCCCTGAGTTCAATTCCCAGTACTGATTAAAAAAGAAAAGACATCCTAAAGTAGGAAGGTCCCCACAGGGAAAAATATATTCATGTAATATATATAGATAGATAGATAGATAGATACATAGGTAGATAGATAGATAGATAGATATAAAATATATATATGCATAACCTATTTAAAGAATTAGAATAAAGAAAAGGAATAGTAAGAAGCCAAGTTGAAGTCATAATTCCATTTTAAAATGGTAGCACTATCACAAAATTTGTCATATTGTTAGTATACTAATACATAGGCCTAAAGTTACATGAGAAAAGCAGCAATCGAATACATTGGTACAAATTAAGTGAATATTTCATGTCATGATTTGCTAACCTTAAAATATGTATTATGAGGTCAATTGTATGCTGACCCCATAATCTGAAACTATGAAGTTCAGTAAATCACTGAATTGTGATAGCAGTAGTCTTTGCTTGCAAATGCTCGATCCAGGTAGGTCAACATGATTATGTAATAGTCATGCATAAAGTATGTCCTTATTTCTGATATATGTTATAACATTAAGAACATTACCTCCAAATATGAACCACGAAGTTAACTGAGAATTTTCTGAAAGAATTTGCTCTCTGCATAAGGGCAGATGAGCTCGGCTCTTGGTGTCACAAGTGCACATGAGTGATTAGAACAGCTGGAACGTACTGTGACTCACAGGGCACAGAGTGCAGATTTTGGGTATAACTCACACAAATCAAGCGCCTAACTGGAATAAGTCCAAGTCGTTGCTGTTAGTTTTACAGTCTCACTATACAAAAGCTTGGCTTGCTTCCTTACTGCTTTCTCTCTCATTTGCTGTAACTTTTTATCAGCGTTTGCTATCTCTTTTGCTTCTAAAGTTCTAACAATGAGGAGCAGAAAGTGTTTTGCATTTCTTTGATTGTATACATTGAATATTATGAAAGGAGACAGATTCACTTAACTACTTGTGACCTAATTTTTAGACTGACTGATATCATGACTTTCCACAAAAGAAAATACAATTCGCAGATTATTTTCAGGTACTTACCTTCTAAACAGACACATATTACAATATTTTCTGAAATCAATACCCTCACAATTGATAATGTAAACATTTACTATCTCTGCAAAATGATATTGTCACAGTTCACCTAACCTAGCTACAAGGCCATAGTTAATTTTAGAATTATTATCTTGGCTCTATATAAACACCTAATTTCAAATCTGCAAGCTAAAATTTAAAATCATTACAACAAAATCCTTTAGTAAATTCATACTTCTTCATATTGGAAACAAATACTGAGTTGTCTAGGTTAGATATCAAAATATTGCCTGGGGGTTTAGCTCAGTGTCTTAAGCACCTGCCTGGCAGGTGTGAGGTCATGAGTTTGATCCCCAGTACCAAAAAAACCCACCAACAAACAAAAAAACTAATCATTTCCCTAGGGAAACTTACAACTTGTTCCCTGAACATTTGTTTAAACTTTAAGGTTCTACATATGTGTAAAAAATCATCTTCTATTTTTGTTTTTGTTTTTGTTTATTTGTTTTGGTACCAAGAATCAAAATCACAACCTCATGCTTGCCAAGTAGGCACCATACCACTGAACTATATCCTCAGTTCAAAAAAATCGTTAGCATTCATACAAATGCCACTGATTTCTGAATGAAAGGGATAAGAAAGCACACAAATCAGTTATCTTTACGTACTGCTCTGAAGGACTCTCAGTCAAAAAAGAAAGAGGACTTCCTGGTTAAAAATGAACCTCTGAAAAGTTCCAGATTTATGAGATTCACCTACTGAAAATAAAATTTAAAAAGTATAAATCATTATTTGTCTTCCTATTCTGGTGTTAATTTTAAATTTCAAGATGATGCTTAGATGAGTTTTTTTTTTAAAAGATGTTTCTACTCAAAATAAAGATATCGGTGATGTTCTCTTTGAGGTGGACTAAAATAAGGCTATGAGCTCATAGTATTCAATTTCAGAAGATGTGGAATTCTCCCCGTGTCATTTCTATTCCAGTGAATTGAAGACTACCCCACAAGGGACCATGTCACAATTCAAGACAGCTAAGGGGCATGCTACATGGTAGTTCTTATGATTTTCCATTTTCTGATATTAAAATATAGTGTTTCACAGGAAACCAAAAGATAATTCTAAAATGGAAATATGTAACTGCTACTCCTAAATGAGATACCTTGCCAATAAAGCTAGCTGACCTAAGAAAGGGAGACTCAGAAAGACAGAGGGAGAGCAACAAAATGGGGAGGAGAAGGGGCGAGGAGGGAGCAGGTTTTGCAGGATTCATCTCACCCTGCACCTTTAACCAAGTTCGTCCAGGAGGAAGAATTACCTGAGATGATACCACAGTAAAGACTGCGAAGAGCTGACTTCTCCGTGGCTTTTTCCTCCACAGATCTCTTCTGCCTGTATACTCGGTGTGGGTGACCTGTTATGGCCACTGTATCATTGAGTGGTTCAATAAATATGAGGTCTTCATTCAGCTGTATAAACCCCATCTGGAATAGACAACACAAAAGAAATATCAGAACTACTACCGAAAATGTTACTTTTAAGATCTCTGAATCAAACATTCTGTTTAACATACGGACACACAATCCTCCAAGGGAACTGTTTGAGCAATCACACTAGTAATGTAACTGTTTTCCTCTTCCACTGCTGCAGCTTTAGGAAGTATACTGCACTAGCATAAGATTCTCTTAGTTAGTCTTAGCTCATGCGGGCGGGAGGCTAGATGCCAGCAACAGATGCACAGTAAAAAGCTGGAATGTTAAAGGCTCACTTTGGGAGGCCCATGGGGTCACTTACATGTACAGCATGTACAGAAAGAGCCACACGGTTTTTAATTACATGTACCACACAGTCCAAGTTTTTGACAATCATGATTTGGTGAAGTGATTCATGTAATATAACAAGCCAAGTGAAGGCAACATAGCGTTGAAATTTACATATAAAATATTCTTAGAGTCTTCTAATTATTTTTAAAACCTTTGCAGCATAAATTAAAGAAAAAATGAAGCATTTCTTACAAAAAGGAGACATGTTTTTGTCATTCAAAATCATGGAGAGAGTTAAAACTGTAAGACATGGTTATGATCATTAAAAAAACTTGCAACAAGCTATCCTTGCAATACACAGAAGCTAAGACTAATTATTTATTTCCTCCCTTTTTAGAACTATAAATGAATATGACTAAGAAAAATTTAATGTGGAAGATCATAATATGAAATGATCTCTTAAATTGACCACTATATAATAGGTATAGAATCCATTTGAATGGTATCACTTTAGAAGATATTTGTGAAGAAATAGCTATATGAGTTAATAATAATTAATACCTAATAATAATTTCTAGCAGCTAGCACAGAGCCCACCATATGCAACAGTCAGCAAATATTTGTTGAGTAAAGGCATGATTCTAAATTTGTCCCCATTTGCTTCTTTACAGGCTACTGTCTTCAAATTTAAATTTTGTTTTCATTTCAGAGCATATTATTTGTCTATACAGAAACACCAAGTGATGGTCAACATGAACCTAAATTTATTCTGCAATGAATTAACCCTACGTGAATTTTTAAAACCTAATGAATTTCATTTACTTGGGCTATTTATATCTCCAACAAAAGTTTCAAGAACCAGAATAAGCAATAATCAAAATTCAAGAACTAAAATAAGCAATTGTATCACTTTAATTCATCCCTTCTGCCCTCTCCCCGTGCCTTTCCTCTTTCCTGTCTGTTTTTTTCTCACACACACACATGCACGTGCACTCCCAAAAACGCACACATGTCACATTTGACGGTAGGAGTAAATATTAAAGAAGCATAATCTAAAGATCCTTTAAAAATATTAGTCATATTTATGTTTGGGCCAACTATTTTTCTATAATTTTAATACAACTTCCAATGACCTCTTTATTTTCCATTCATGTTTTACTAGCCTAAATTTTAAAGTGATTACATAAAATCTAGGAATGTTTCCCTGGGCCTTAATTTGATGAAACAATAAGAATATTAAACAAAAAATATATTAAGTAATAAACATTAAAGATGTAAAATTGAGAGGCAGTGTTCAATTATATGTCATTAATTTAGATTGTGAAAATATACACAGTATTTTTATGTTATGTTCTAGTAAACTCTTGAGATTTACTCAGTACTTAAAACTATTTAACTGTGGATAATGTTCAAACTATGATGCTCAGTTAGAACATATTAGCAATCATGTGGAGTTTACCAAATTCGTAAATTTGTGATCCAAAATGTCTTTCAACAGATTATAAACATAGTTAAATTTATATGAAGAAACCATTTAAAATTTAATTGCACTATATCATATAAAATTTAATGATTCCAAGAATAGATTCTGGCCTTAGACTATTTGGATTAGACTTATTAGACTATATAGCTATGAGAAATTTACATCAAACTTACACAAAAGTTTCCAGAGGGTTTTTGGAGGGTATTTTTAAAACACATGTAATACCATTAACATGGGTTCTGATAATAAACATTCATCATTATTTTTATTCTAACAATCAAAATAACCATACTAAATATAAGGATCCAAGTTTGAATATAAACTACATTCCTATTAGCACACTAAGTACTCTATGAAGTAAGAAACTTCATGATGTAACATCGCTATTGTCTTAGAATTTTATCTACAAACATTTGTAAAACAAGAAGGCCATTAAAAGTGGATTAAGTATAAATGGTGACTCATGAATACCTGTCTACTGTCTGGCTGCTATGCACCAGACGCCTTCCTTTCTGAGGCACACTGAGCACTAACTGTCACAAAGTACCTTTCCTGGCCCAGAACAGCACTTTGGGGCACAAAACAGTGGCCCAGCTTCCATCTGTATCATTTAAGACGCTGACTTGGATTAAACTAGAATTTCAGAAAATACTGAGGTTTTCAGTATTTCCACAAAGGGCTCATTTTTTTCTTTTAATAAAATAGATAGTTTTATCTACATGATGATTTAACAAGCGATGTAGAACATGAATCCATATGAACCTCTCAAGGTCCCTGCAATCTACAATCCACAATTAGGTAGCATTTGTTTTAGTTTTAGAAGAAAAGATCATATGAATTAAATGACATAATACAGTATCTGTAATAACGGCAAACTAAGTGTTTTCCAACAATTTTTTCAGAATATTTTTTCAGAATAATTTTATGTATTTTGAAACATTTTATGAGGATAAATGGTAATGAAGTCAGGAGTTATTTCCTTCTCCATTTCCATTATCATGTGCATTTTCTCAAATGATAGCATGTATTGCTTTACCATTTGTTGTTTGATTTCACAACATAGTAAGAATTTCAGTATTTTGCAATACAGCATTATTTATATGAAAAGTTACTAGCCATTTCTTTCTTACCTAGTTTGATATTTTATTTCCATTTGTGAGCCTCTGTGCTTTTTTTATTTAAAGGGAAAAAAAAAACAGTATAAGGATACAAGTAATACAGAATTACAAAAAAAAGGGTAAGAAATCACTAGTTAATAGATTACATATTCTCATCTTAGAAATAGTTGTTCAAGTTACAGGATTAAAGCATACAAAGTGGACATTCAAACAGTGAGACTGCAGACAGTTGTGTTCAATGATCCAACAAAAACTCAGTAATATGGTCATCTATCTTAACACACTTGCAGTTGTATCCTTTAGAGCACATTTTTTTTCTCTCTTTTTTACAACAAATTTACACATTTTGGGTTTTATTACTCCCGTAGTTCTTATTATTTTTTTTTGGAAGAGAATAAAACCAAATATGACAAAACAAAGCAGTCAGTCAAAACAAAGGATAGACATAGCACATGATGTAAAAACAGAATACAAGGTTATCAACAGTGGTTACCATAATGCCTCTTGCTTCCTTAAAAAGAATTGTCTATGTGATTAGGTATAATAAAATTGAACAAAACAGTACAGAACAAGACCAATAAAACCTAAACATTGGAAACATTACAGGACTTCAAAAGAAGATAATAGTCAAACCAGAATGGGCATCGTAGTGAATGTTATTGCCTTCAAAGTAGTTGCCTATACCCTCAAACTTGATACTATCAAACAGAATGGAACAGAGTCTAACCAGTCAAAATAAGATAGTGGGAGTAATACAGGGCTTCAAATCAAGTTAATAGGAAATCAAAAAGTTACTATAATATATCCTGCTTTTTTTATTTTTCCCTTAATTAAAAAAATAATAATAAAAATAAATAAATAATTTTTTTATGAACAAGGGGGAGATGAGATAAAAGAGAACATAACAACATAACAATACAGATCAAAGCATGACAGTTTCAACAACCTAGTGCTTCACCACAAGATAACCCGACTTAATAGTAGTTACCGTAGTGTCTCTAATTGTCCATCAGTGATGAATAATGAAGACAATTTGAAGTCAGAGACTACAAACACCTTATAAAGTCACATGCGTAATCTATAAAATTTGAACTCTTAGAAGCAGAGAATAACATTGGTCAGTGTGAGGTGCCAGGAAAGATGTTGGTTAAAAGATAATAAAATGTAGGCTGGGCATGGTGGTGCACACTTGTAATCTTAGCACTTAGGAGGCTAAGACAGGAACACGGTTGTGAGTTCAAGACCAGCCTGGGTTACAAAATGAGCTCAAGTCCAGTGTGAGCTATATAGAAAGACCATGCCTCAAAAAGACCAAGAGAAAAAAAAAAAAATCAGTGGCATACACAGGAAGAATTACTTCAAGACATTCATTAGATAACATGGTGACTGTAATCAATAACAATGTGTTGTTTACTTGCAAATTGCAAAGGGAATGGATTTTAAGCATTCTCATAATAAAAATTATTGCATATGTTAACTGTCTTCCATGTGTCTATGTACAATATGCTGTGCACATAGGTCTCTGTATTTTGCAATTAAAATAATTAGCCAATTAATTTTAAAACACAGTATATCACAGAAATAAATGTCACAAATTTTAAAGAACATGAGGATAGAAACAGACCATAATGATTCCAGGACATGAGAAACATTTTGAGGGAAAACAGGATTTAGGTGGCAAGAATGTGCCTCTTGAGACAGGACATCACAAGTTAGGACAAGCATGCAAGGCTGAGGTGACAATCCAAAAGGATGCCTGGTTTGAGCAAAGAAAGGAAAATATACCACAAAAGTAAGATAAACTGACATGACCGGAAAAAATCAACTGACCGTATTCTTGGTGGGAGAAGTCAGTCTTGAATCTCTCAGAATAATCAATTTATTGTCTCTGTATGGTATATCAGAGACTTAGTCTGATACCAGAATGAGCACAGCTGTGTTTATTTGTGCTAACAGAAGTTGCCGAAAGGATCTAGCGCTGGACAAATATCTGATGCACCACAAGATCTGTAGTTTTGTTTAAATTTGTCTTTATCTTTAAAACTATTTCCTGGTAAGTTTATGTTATGGTGTGCATCTCAGTAAATGAAGCATTATCATTTGAAATGTAAACATAACAT